GGTGGAGGATGTACCCAAACAGCCGGCAGCGCTGCCGGGCCCCCTCCGCGCTCGCGAGGTGCCCGCTCCCTCCCTCCCTCCCTAACGTCAGCACAAACGCCCTCAGGTGAGGGCGGAACCAAAGGGGGAGCCGCCCCCGAGGTGCTCCGCACAGCCTGGTGCGCTGGTTGCACACACCGGTCATGGGTGACAGTCACATTCCAGGCTGATAGACACGTGGGCGGGGTGGCCGCTCTCACACACCTCAGTTCACACCTGACTCGGAATTTCAGGCCGGCCCTGCTGTGTAAAAGGCCGGCCCTGGTCAGACCCGCATGGATGGGGGCTCGGCTTTAAAGTGTGATGCCCGTGCGTGAAGGCAGAGCCCTGAACCGCTCCTTCATTTAGTGTTTATTGAGTCGACCCGGTCCTTTGCCATTTGCATGGGGCAGGTACGGGGCAGACAACAAAAGGCGTGGAGTTCAGGAGGGAGGGGATAGAAAATAATCAATTCTGCCCCGAAGGAAACAAACAGAGATATAGTAGCAATGCCGTGTGGGGGAGGGGTTCTTTATCGGCCGTGGAACTGTTGCGCGTGGAAATGGGGTCCTTTCACGGAGTCGCAACCAGAGGAACCCTCTGAGGGGGTGGCCTTTAGACTTAACCGGAATGACACCAAGCAGCAGCCATGCAGGGATCCAGGCAGAGAAGAGCAGGTGATGGTGGGGAAGGCCGGGCAGGAGGTGAGCTGGAGGGGCTGCACAGGCCAGCTTTCCCGAGGACAGAGCAGGCCTGAGCCAGCCCATCTGCCTGGGATTGAGAGGTTCCCGGGGTGCAGGACCCTGATAACCTGGAGCAGTTCCAGGCAAACCAGGGCTGGCCGCTCCAGACAGAGACTTGGGTTCTTTTTCCACCTTCTTTCTTTTCCTTCCTTTCTTCATTCTTTCTTTCCTTCCTTTTTTTCTTTCTTTTCTTCCTCCCTTCCCCTGCCCCTCCCTCCTTTCCTCCCTCCCTCCCACGCTCTCCTTTCCTTTTCTTTAACAGTTCTGTTGAGCCCTAACCGGTTTGGCTCAGTGGTTAGAGCATCCGCCTGCGGACTCAAGGGTCCCAGGTTTGATTCCAGTCAAGGGCATGTACCTCAGTTGCGGGGACATCCCCAGTGGGGGGTGTGCAGGAGGCAGCTGATCCATGTTTCTCTCTCATGGATGTTTCTAACTCTCTATCCCTCTCCCTTCCTCTCTGTGGAAAGTCAATAAAATATATTTTAAAAAAACAGCTCTGTTGAGTTATATCACATATTAGTTCTGTTAAACAGCTTTCAGCATATTCAGCGCTGCGCAGCCACCATCGGTCCGTTCCAGAATACAGTATTTCCATGGCCCCCAAGCTGTTTGGGTTTTCTCCTGAGGACAGTGAGGACCAAGGGAGGGTTCTGAGCAGGGGAAGGAGGGACCCCTGCAGCTTCTAAGGGGGGAGGACAAACTGCAGGGACCAAGGGGGGCGCTGGGAGACCACGAGGAAGCTGGGATCACCTCTAGCTGCATAGTCTGTCCCCTAGGGGTGAGAGTCTGTAGGGCCTGCCACCCACACTACACTCTGTGAGGGTGACCAGGCTTTTCAGCTGTTACAGGCTGAATGGGCTCCTGTCCCCTCCATCCCTAAAGAAGGTATGTTGAGCCCGGCCGATGTGGCTCAGAGGTTGAGTATCCACCTTTGAACCAAGAGGTCGCCGGTTCAATTCCTGGTCAGGGCACATACCTGGGTTGCAGGCTCAATCCCTTGTGTGGGGCGTGCAGGAGGCAGCCAGTCAATGGTTCCCTCTCATCATTGATGTTTCTCTCTCTCCCTCTCCCTTCCTCTCTGAAATCAATAAAAAGAAAAAAAGAAATCCCAACCCCCAGGACCTCAGAATATGACTGTATTTGGGAATAGGGTCATTGCCGGCGAGTTAAAATGAGGTTATACTGCAGTCGGTGGGTCCCTGATGCAATGACTGGGGTCCAATGACATGGAGCATCATGTGATGAGAGGCTGCGAGTGTGGCACTGTGGCCACCATCCAGGGACCACCGAGGCCGGCCGGCAGCCAATAGAACCAGGGCGAGGCGAGGAAGGGTGCCCCCCACAAGCTTCAGGAGCGCGCCCTGCCTACACGGTTTCGACGCTGACCTCCAGAACTGTGTGCCCATAATGTCTGTGTTCTAAGCTGCCCGTTCGTGACAGGGCAGCCCCAGGAGTAACTCGTCCGCGGCGGAGCAGCACATCACGCTGGCATCGAGGATTGAGGCCGTGGAGAGTGTGACCCTGAATAAGGGCAGGGCTGCCTGCGGAGGGGGACCAAGCTTGGCCCTCAGGTGGCGGTGGTGACAATGTGGCCATTTATTCCAGGAAGAAACTTTCACTAGTTTCTAGAAAGGCATCTTGAGGAGGGAGTGAGGTGTGGATGGGAGCCTCCCAGGGGCATCCCCTCCCAGGCCACTGAGGAAGCCAAAGCTGTGGGGTGGGAGGAGGTGGGCAGCAGGGGCAGGGCTTTCCTACTGGTCTCCCTCCACAGGCAGGGCTGGGGGCACAAATCAGAGACAGGAGATCCCAAACCTTGCCTTGGGGGCCTATGGGAGGCAACCAGACCCAGGCACAGTGAGTAGGGGCAGCGGTTGCCAGGAGACAGAGCTAGGCTGCCAGGGAGTGCCTCAGGGGCCTTGAGGTCCGACTTACCCTACTGCCTGCAGGTGGCAACTGCCTTCCGGCCGGTGAGACCACCGTACTGCTTCCCGCTGCTGGGCTGCAGACCCCCCTGAGCAGCCCTGTTCTTTCCCAATGGGGCCCAGCCAGCCCCCACGACCCAATGTGGGGGCTCTGCTCTGGCCTGCTGTGTCCCACCTGAGAGTTCTGGAGGCACAGGGAGTCCTGCCAGGTTCCAACCCAGGTCACCGGGCGTCCTACCCCACAGCAGCCCCAGCAGTGCGCAGCGAAAACCATTATCTGGATCATCTTTATGGGGCTTAGGCTTGGGTGGGAGCAGATGGGTGTGAGCTGGGGATTTGGGTTGGGTACCCACTGCCCTGTCTGCCTTTTAAAAAGCCTTTCCTGGCCCGGGGCTGGGCCAGAGGCCAGCAGAGAACGGACGGGGTCCAGGAAGCAGGAGCAAAGATGGACGGGGAAGAGGTGGATGGGGGTTCAGCGCCCTGTGTCAAGGTAAGCAGCCCCCCCCCCCCACACACACACTCTCAACTCCTCAAGAGCAGTGAATGACAATAACCAGTTTGTAGGGCATCTAATTAGTGATTGAGTCTCTTGGGATCCCTGACCCAGTTTGCTGCCCAAGGACGTACTGGTGGGCATGAGGGTCCACGTGCCTACCGCAGCCCCAGGGCAGGTCAGTGCTCAGCGATGGTCCGGTGAGCTGAGGGGAGGGAGGGTGCTGGGATTTTCGGGCGGCCCCCGGGATGTTTTCCTGGCTGGTGTCCATAGTCAGGCCCCAATCTAGAATGGCAGAAGCTTCTCCCTTGAGGCAGCACCACGTGCAGAGGCACTGATGGCCGGACCCTGCGGGCTGGGATTGTGAAGGAGACTCTGGTCTCATTCACAGCAGCTCTGCAGAGCAGCGCATCAGCGGGGACCATGGTGAGAGCCACGGAGGGGAGGGCAGATGCCGGGGCCAAGGTGGGAGCTAGTGAGGGGTCCCCCAACTGAGGGGCCAGCTGGACCAGATGTGTCTGTCTCCCAGGCGGGCTCTCCAGACCAAGAAGGCTTCTTCAACCTGCTGACCCATGTGCAGGGCGACCGAATGGAGGAGCAGCGCTGCTCGCTGCAGGCAGAGCCAGGCACCACCTCCAAGAGCCGTGAGAGTGGGCAGTGGGTGGAGGGAGGGTGTGCTGCCTGGAGGAGTAAACGGGGTAGGGCGTAGCCGTACAGGACAAGTTACCATCTAGGCAAGAGTCTGTCTGAGAGGAGGGGGCAGCTGGGGACACAGATGCTTGTGGGTCGAGGGGCAAGGCTCGGCAGGGGAGCCGAGCGCGCTTCCTGGAGAACAGGAGTGGGAGGGAGGGTGGGCTGAGGGTCCCGCTGGCCGCGTTCCCTGGCATCTGTGTATGTGTTCACCTTCACCTGCTTGTGCTCCCTGCAGAGAGTGGCCCCACGCCGGAGATGGACAGTCTCATAGACATGCTGGCCAGCACCCAGGGTCGCCGCATGGATGACCAGCGTGTGACAGTCAGCGCCCTGCCTGGTTTCCAGCCTGTGGGCCCCAAGGTAGGTGATATTCTGCTGGGGCTGAGGGAGACCAGCCATGCTGAGCACCCCAATCCTGCCTCTCACCCCCAGTTCGGAGTGAATGGGGCCCCACCCCCACCGGTCTATCATGTGCTCCTTGGAGATGAGTGCCTGGTAGGAGTGCCTGCCTGTGTCCTTGCCCGTCCCAAGGCCCTGGCCAATCCAATACCTGACTTTAGACAGGAGAACGAAGACCCAGACAAGGCCCAGAAGACCACAAGGTCATGCAGAGGGCACATTAAACCAGAGCCATGGCTGAGGGTGTCAGGGAGGGTTGACAGAGCAAACCCCTCTCCTGGGAAGACATCCTCAGGGAGGAGGGCACATGAGCTCATACACTCACGTGTGTCTATGTCACGTGTAATCATGCACAGCTTGGGTTCTGATCAAGACCCCAGTGGGATCCCCAAGGTCCCCCACCTCACACCCAAACTGCACCCTAACTGTTGAGCAACGAAGGTATGTAGAAGCTCCAGGATGGTGGGGGCAGACGGCGGGCGGTGCGACGGTTCCCACCTGCACCTCCTTCCAATGCTTGCGTCGCCTCGGGCCAGCGCTGCCCTTGGCCTCTCCCTCTGGTTGACCCCTCTTCTTCCACAGGACGGAGCGCAGAAACGAGCTGGGACCCTGAGCCCCCAACCCTTCCTCACCCCTCCGGACCCTTCTGCTCTCAGCTTCCGTCGGAACAGCAGCCCCCAGCCCCAGACACAAGCCCCGTGAGGGCCTGAGCCATCTTGCACCCCACTCGTGCCCCCCAAAAGCAGACAATAAAACACTTGCAGGAGAAAGAATTGAGTGTGCGTTGTTTCACGGGTGGCACGCGGGCACTTGGGGGTTTCAGGCGCTCTGCTGGGCAGCGCGAAGGAGCTTCTCCTCCCGCTGCTTCCGTATCCTCGCTTTGAATTCTTCTAGTTCTTGGCGCTAATGGTGAGCAAGAGGTGGGACATATGACAGGTCAGCTCATGGAAGGCAGACATTGGTGCCCCCTGCCCTCCTGCACCGCCACCCCGTCCCTATGCCCCCGCCGTGGCTTTAGACTTCAGTGTCTGCACTGGAAGCCCTGGGCCAGTCACACGCAGGTCCAAGTGGATCCGCTTCGCCGTGTGGGGAGAGGACGGCAAGGGAACCACGTGGTCCTCTGCTCAGCTCGCTGCTCCCAACCCATCCCGGTCGCGGGGAGCCAGGCCCCCTGTCCCGCTGGGGGGAAGAGGGTGTCGCGTACCTGGTCCTCCTTCTCAGGCGGCCACAGCTCCCTCTGCGGGGGTAAAGCCACAGGTGAGCCAGGAGCCTCCCGAGCCCACACCCAGGGCAGGTGAGCTCCCGGCCGGCAGACACCGGCGCCCCTGCGCTTCCACCCCGGAAGCCCACCAGCACACCCGGCGCCCACCTTCCGCTGTATGACGGAGCCCTCGAACCACTCGGCCTGGTTGGCAATCCAGAACATCGCCACCGGGAAGGTGAGGTAGAGCGTCATCTGCGAGGGGGGCGGCGAGGCGCAGGCCGCTCAGAGCCTGCGGACCACCCTCTAGCACAGCCCAGCCGCCCTCCTCGGGGCCCCCCGAGAACCCCAGGATTACGGGGTCTGGCCGCCATCGCCCAAGGCGCCTTACTTCTGAAAGCTCCCTCCCGGAGGCCACACTCCCCCTGGCCCAGGAGCACAGAGCTCCCCCCTCACGGCCCCGCCCCCAAAGGCGGGTCCCGGGAGCTCCCCGAACCCCTCGTCCTTCGGCGTCTACTCCCTAGGGTAGGAGCCTCCCTACCGGACACACCCCCCATCCTGAGCCCAAGAGCTCCCCGAGTCTGCAGCCTTCTTCCTTCCAGAGCCCCGGCTCTGACCACCCCTCTCGGCAGGCCCTTCCTCACAGCAGCCCTCCCAGAGCCGCCCTCCCCGGAGCCCCTCCTCTGGGCTTCCGACCCTAAAGGGTCTTCTCAGATCTCGGGGTCCCTCCCCAGAGCGCCCTCTCTGGGATCCTCCTTCTCAGAGCTGCCTCCTCAGGGCCAGGAAGAAGCCC